AATGGTTGGGCTCTACCCAAAACCGAGAGAGAACCAAACACTCCCTAAACCAAGACCCAAAATCCTAATTTAAGGTTAAAGATCTTGGCTGAAACTCCTTAAAACTACATGCTCACCGACGTTACCCCGACTCTCCGGCGAACTATACTCCGACAGGGTACCCAACCGACCAAAGGTAAAACTTATTCCCCTCTCTTTCTTCTTATTTGTTGTTTTAGAAATAAAAAAAAGGAATTACTAGAAGATAAAATGAAAAGGAAAAAACTTTCAATGTTTGTATTGTTTTTTTTTTTAATCTGGAAAAAATCCCCTCCCCTTTACAAAAAAGTTTTTGATGTGCTTTTATATTACCCTTGTACAAGTATAAAAAAAATATTTGCTGATTTTTTATTCCTTTTTGCTATTGTACAATTGTTAAACTGGTGAGGAATTGTTTATTCGGCTACTGTTGTGGCATGGATGCTGCAGCTGGGTTACTACAAACGGGGCATTGAATGCCCCAAATATTGAGGGATTTTTCACCCTTTTTTATTTTTATATTATTATTATTAATTGGGATAAAAAATGGTGATTACAAAAGTTGAAATTATCATGTTTCATTAAGGGTAAAATGATAATTTCACATTAAATGAATTTTAAATTCATTGATATTAGATTAAGCCAAGTGTATTATGTTTTAATTGTAGAAAAATCAGAAATTTTCAGTTTCTTCTAGCCCCAAAACTTGTACCACCATAATTACAAGGTAACAATTTTATTTTTTATTTTTAATCTTATTTGATTGATTTTTTTTAATTAAGCTATTAGATAGAGAATTAATCCCTTTGAAATTCTCTATCATTTGGTATAAATATTACATGGAGATCATGCTTATATGATGAGTTTGGAAATTAGGGTTTATGTAGGATTTGTTGATTTTGAGGATTTGTTGAAATATTTTCATGTTTTTGATGTTGGAGAATAATTCTAAAGCTTGTATGATGATTAAAACTACTTGAAATTGGGTGAAATTTCATTTGGACATGACCTAGGGTTTTGAGAAAAATATGATTTGGTTAAATTATGTTAGGCTATGATTGTAGAAGCTTTGAAATGTTGTTTAGAGGTGGAATCCATGCTTGAATCAAGTGAAAATCAAGAACCCTAACCACTATGATATTCGGCTCTAAGGAATTAATTGGGGAAATTGTGAAATATTTCCTTAGGCTTAAAAATGATGTTTGAAATGTTCTACAAGCTTTAGAAAGTTATTTGAGTTATTTTGTAATTTTATGAAAGTTAGGGGACCTATTTTAAAATTATGGAAAATATGGGTTTTATGTCAAAATGCTAGAAAGATGTTGTACTATGCTGGAATTGGAAGTTAGAATATTGAATTTGATGTTAGAATGTGAAATTTGACAATTTTGGAAAGTTGGCAAAGTTTGAGTACTAAATGGAAAATATTGAGAAAGCTAGTGACTTAAGTTGTAACAGTAGAGTTGTTGAGGTATTGAGCTAAAAATTAGATGCTGGAAATTTAATTAAGTTTTTTGAAACTTGAAGTGAATCTAAAAGGCAAGGACTATTTGGAATAAAATGGAAAGTTGGTATGAATTCTAAAAGAATTCATAAATTGTAGTTAAAATGGAAAGTTGCAAATATTATGTGAAGTTTGGGTGAATTTGGATAAAAAGGAATTTATTGGTCAATTTTAAGTATTAAGGTCAACATTGATGATGTGATACGAAATTCGTATCGGTTGAACATCGAAAGGTTTTTAGGAACTTATTTTCTATTGTGTGTCTATGTTAGTAAGATTCTAACATATTGTTTGAAATGTATATGTTATGTAAATAGTGTTCATTTTGATTATGATTGAAATCAATATCAAGCAATGTTAAAGCTAAGGAGAAGCTTAAGGACGTAATATGAAGTGTTAGAAAGGTTTACAAGCTAAGGACACCAAGTGAGTGCATATTTAATTCATATTTGTGTTATTGAGCAAACACTGACTTGCGATGAGCCAGTGACGGAATTACTATGGTAAGAAATAACTTCTAACTATTATGTGAATTATTATTCATACATATATGCTCAATTAATATGCTAATAGAATTAGTGAATAAGCTGAAAATATAAGTTAGTGAAATATGCCCAGATTTGTGTTATGAATAGTAAGTTTAGAAAACCATCATAAATTATACAGAAATTATTAGAGGACAATTTTTACACCGTTGGATTTGTATGTCAGTATAGTTTTGGTTAAAACAAACGGATAATGATTTCTATAGGTATACAAAAATATATGAATTTTTAATTAAGAATATGTCAAAAAGCATAACAACATATTCTTCTCAAAACAGCTTATGTAGGTCAACTTCAAAAATTCAATATAAATTGTATAAGATGAACTAGAACAAGTGCCATATATAGTTAGATTTTTATTCGAGTCTAGTTTCTAGTGGTATATATGGAATAATTTTTAAGTGTGTATATTAATACATAATAATATTTCTTTGCAAGTAGTGCATACTATCGTAATATAAAACTTGTCATAAATTATGTTTTCATGTTACTCCTATGTTATAGGTTATTATAAATGCTCGAAATAAGTCAAATTTATTGCATTTGGTATGATAGTTATGATATTTATTACATGATTAATATGATGTTTATATGTTATAGAAACATAATTGATGATGATTATGATATATAAATGTTACGTGGAAATGAAATGTTAGGGTATGAACTGCCCATTATGTTATGATATGAAGAGTTGGATATGTTGATATATTGATATCTTTGATAATTGAATAATATATAATAATTAATGTTAAAACTCATTGTATGTTGCACTGAGAGTCGTAAGTACATTTGGCATGTCATTAAGTTGAGTACTTTCCAGTTATGTTATGGTATATTCGTGTACATTATGATCTGCACCGTTGGTGCTCATGTTATGATTGCACTTGGTGTGCATTATATGTTTCAGTTAAGATTGGCACCATGATATGTTATGTGCACACCTTATGTTCTACTCACGTACCTTGCATTCTCATAAATATGGATTGGGCTATGAATTTGAAGATAAGTTATGAATCTGATAGTAAGCTATGAGTCTGAAAATAAGTTATAAATCTGGAAATAAGTTCTGATTCATAAAATAAATTCTGAAATGTGAAATTATTATAGACATGGAATATGAAAATGATATGTGAATGAATATGAAGTGGAAAACGATAATAAAATAGAAGTCTTTAAAAGTATTGAATGAAATAGAGAGATGATGATTTTCAGGTCTCTAATGAGGAAAGACGACTTGAATAAATCGGTTTGGATATTTAATGATTTTATTTGAATTTAAGTTTAATGCTTTGAATTGTTATGATATTTTATGTTAAGTTTTAGATAAAGAAAAATAATGTTATGATGTTGTTAAGTTGTTTAATATTTTATGTCACCTTAGTTTGTTATGATTTTCACGCGTAGGTAAAGAAAGACAAGTGAAGTAAGGAGTCGAGTTGGCATCAATCAACAAAGAACAACTACAAGTATTAGTAATGGCATCCTACTATTTTAAATTTTCTAAATGGCATGTATACGAATAAGAAATGTCTAAGATATATTACTAGGGTTATAAATATGAATCAAAGTTTTATAGTTTAGATAAGAAAAATTATATTTTACGAGAACAAAGAAATATTTTAAAATTAGGTAATTTTTATGTAGTATTGTTTACTATTGAACTACTAAACTTCTGCCTAAAGTTAAGCTTGATTTATATGATAATTATTATTTTATGATTTTACACTATTAATGGAATAATTGTAAAGTTAATGATGGAATGTCTTATAATGGAACAAAATTTTAAGCATTTAAGATCATTGAATGTTTGTAAATTTGATGTTACATCTTTAGCTCATATTTTGAGACGTACATGGGCTATGGGTGTAATATTTTTTGTTACAGAGACAAACTCAACTTTCAATTGATAATTTCACTAAGATAATTGTTGTTTACAACTGGAAGATGATCAATGTTATATAAGCATGCAAGAAATGTGAATAGTTGATAAGAAATAGAAACAAATACTAATAACATGGATGAATATTGAATCCATGATAATTAGGATGAAATTAAGATGCATTTAGGGTGACCTACAATGTATGTTCAAAAATGAATGATTCTTTGAATCTTCTTGGTTCATGAATGTATATGGTTGTAATCCATTGCACTTGGTGAATGGATGAATGACTTGAATGCTTCCTTGAATTTTTTTTCCTTTTTTGATTCAATCAAAGAAAAAAATAAATGCTATAAATATCAAAGAGGAAGATATTTCGACCTCAGATGACCAACCAACCCCTATGATGCTATCAGAAGAGAGGCTATGAAATAGGTGAAAAGGTTCAAAAAGTTGAAGAATAAATAAAAACTTGTGATAATAAGAAAGCACTTAAAATATGCATTTAATTTTCATTCAAGTATGTATGAAATAGGAAGCCTTGTGATGTGAACAAAAGCAAGCATGGTTACATTTCATGTAATAACCTTTTAGATTGCTTTTTTTTTAGTGTCAACACAAGAAGGCATGTCCATTCATACGTCCAGTACTTTTGCAGTGTGAACATAAGCAAGCATGTCACATGCAATCACCTTAATTCATATGTAGGCCTATAAATGAACTGAACATTCAGCGAACCGTTCATGAACCGAGCGGCGGGAAGTTCGTTTATGTGCGTTTATTTATTAAATGAACGAACATGAACACGATTTTGTGTTCGTTTAATTAAATGAACGAACATGAACATAGGTCTCGTTCGTTCATTTACGTTCGTGAACGTTCGGTTATGTTCGGTTATGTTCATTCATTTATGTTTAACCCAATCTTCTTAAATAAATTTTGGTGACCAATTTGTAAGTATCTTAAAAGTATTAATTAATCTGATATTCTGATGACCAACTCCATAATTAACCCAATTTTATTTGGAAAACCCAACAATATTAACATGGTTTAGTTCTCTTTGAACGATCCATAAGCTGCATACCCAGCACCGTCAACATCCACTGCACCGGAACCCTATGTGACTGCGCCACCAGCTGGTTATCCGATGAGCAAAGAGGATTCCCAGAAACCGGTTGCTTTTGAAACCAAGTCAAAAGGTGATGGATTCCGTAAGGGATATTAAGTATTAAGCACTGTTTCTTCCACTCAAATAATCTTCTTTTCTTTCATATATAATGGAGTATTCAAAATTTACAAGTAAATAGTGATCAACCAGCAACTCAAGTCAGCTTACTTTGAACTCAAGAACCCAATAATGGTAAGTCCTTATTCCATAGGTTGAGAAGTTCTTTAACGCATTTCATCAAATAAATTTTTTGCGCCATCCGGATATGGAAGTTTAGCCAACCTAATTCTCTCATCTCCCAATTTTCAACTTCTACATAGAACGAAGCTAAGGACATGTTTGTTTGATCCCCAAGGATTAAGGTCAGCAATCACATGAAACACAATTTGTGTTCATCTCGACTGTTGTTGAAGGAGATAGGAAGAAAGAAAGTGGAGGAACGTTATGCAATCCCACATCAGTAGCAAACAAGCAGCTTAGGGTTAGTAACTTATATAAAAGAAGATAAGGGAGAATAGGTTTAAGCATCTTTGCGCTTGGGGCAATGTCGAGCTTGAATCGAGCTCTGAATCGAGTTTGAATCGAGCTTCAATTGAGCTCGAGTCTCGAGTTTTAATTGAGCTCTTAATTTTTTTTTGAGTTCGAGCCTTTTCGAGTTCGAGTCGAGTTTCAATATTATATTTCGAGTTTGAGTCGAGCTTGATAATTTTAAGCTCTCGAGTTTTCGAGTCGAGCTGACTTTGAAAGTTTTCGAGTTCGAGTCGAGCTCAGCAATACTCGAGCTCGACCTCGGCTCGTTTACACCCCTAGGTAGGGTCTCCAACGTTTATGTTTGTTTATGTTCGTGTTCATTTATGTTCGTGTTCGTTTATGTTCGTACGCGTTTATGTTCGTTTATTTATTAAATGAACGAACATGAACAAGTTATATTCCTTAATAAACGAACATGAACAAAAACAAATTGTTCGTTTATGTTCGTGTTCGTTTATGTTCATTTATTTATTAAATGAACGAACATGAACATACCTCCGTTCGTGTGCGTTCGGTTCGTTTACAGGCCTAATCATACGTCTAAACCCAAGTAAGCAGCTCAAGCAAGTATCCCTCCAAAGTCAAGCAAGTATCACAAGGTTGCAATGTAGCAAGCCATTGTGGTAACAATTAAAATGCAACAATATGGGTTAAAATAACTAATTGGAACTCCAAGCATGTGATCACATCAATATGATGAAGGAGGTTCTTCTTTTAGCTATAGATAGGCTTTCATAGATTTAACTTTGCTTCAAATATCTCGGATTAAGCTCGGATGAGCTTCTTGAAGCTTCTTGAATGTAAACAGCTTGTCTCAATCAAATGGTTTCGAAAAGGTTGTCAACAACAACACATGGCGCATAGTAAATGTATGTTTCAATGACAATATTTCCAACATAAAAAATAAACTTTTTTTTTTTGCAGTGAGAATGAAAATCATTTTCAAGCAAAAATGAGTCTTTGTTGTTGGTGGAGTAATCCAATTAAACCACTCGTAGTGGTCCAACAAAATCCTGAAATAAGATGACACAATTGGAAAATATTGGGTTTTCGTTTGGCAAATTTTCTTTCACTTTCAATTGGATTGGAGTGTTTTCCATTTGCTTTGGAGTCTTGAGAATGAGATTAGTCGGCCTTCCATTAAACTTGATTGGACACTTGATTGAAATTTCATCAAGCAAAATCTTCCTCTCGTATTACCAAGGCCTCTCTCAGAAAAACTTTTCTTTCATCAACCAACTAATTCGAAAGGTTGAGGATGTCTTTGATCAAACTACAAACAATCTCATCAATGTTTCAATTAGTTTCAAAGACATTTACTCGTTGTTACTCGTCATTTATAATAATGCAAACGATCATGGGTTGTTCAGATCTTGACGAATCTCCTTCAATTGGATAATTGTTCTTGTTTGTCTCTGTCTTCGGAATCATCCTTGGTTACAAATTTGCTTAATTCTTTTTTCAGAATATCTTACTCGCTTGCTTATTCTTTGTTCTTGTCTTTCGGTTCGTCTTAGGTGACAACTTCCGTAACACCTTTAGACATCGCGGTGCTCTAATTAGAATATTGACTTGGATTGTGTCCTTTTCTCAAATACCGGTAACAACCAACACATTGAACATGTAGAGACTTGATCTTGTTTCCACTTGAAGAAATTTTCTTCTTGTGTTCTTTCCTCCTAAAAATAATTTTTTCAACTTTCTCCTTCAATAAAACTAATCGACGTTGTAGAAAATTTTCCACTTCTTGAAGAAAAACTTGATATAATAAATAAAACTCTCAAAACTGCGTACCTTAATTAACTAGCTATGATTGGATGAAGTTGAGACATTTGTGTTCTTGATCGATTAAGGTGACCTGAGTAAAGGAAACTTCAAATTGGAATTTCGATTGAAATGAGCAAAAGAAGTTATTATTATGATTGGATTGATAAATGGTCGTGGATCTTTTGATGGAGTTTATAATGATGACGAGATGATGAAGGATGTGAGGAATCGAATGATAAACTTGAATCGACTAAGGACTAACATAAACAAATATTATAAAACAATATTAACCCGAATATTATAAGTCACTTAACCAACACAAGATAAATTGGATGGATCGTGACCCGCTATCTATGAAAGAGATAAGAACTTATGATATAATATGATGGATGAATGTCACACTCAGGAGAGTGACAAGTTCGGTAAAGAAGACTCAAAAGCTAGGTTTGATAAGTCTGATAAATAAGTGACACAAACTCAACTTTCAATTGATAATTTCCCCACGCAAAATAGATTTTTAGCGGCGTTTTTATCTCTATAGCGACGTTTTCAAACGCCGCTAAAAACTTTCCCGGGCGTATAAAAAACGCCGCAAGAAGCGCCGCTAAAACTAACATCGCAAAAGATAGCGACTTTTGTGAACAAAAAACGTCGCAAAAGGTCCAGTTCAATAGCGATGTTTTCTTTAAAACGCCGCAAAAGGTCAAGCTCATAACACTGTTTTTAAGAAAAACATGCAAAAGGTTATCGCGGCGTTTTTAAGAGCGTCGATAATTACCTTCTCTTTAGTGGCGTTTGTTTTCTAAAACACCGCTACATGTTATGATATTTAGCGGCATTTATGATAAAAACGCCGCTATTAACTATGTATTAATGGCACAAACGCTGCACATGTATGGTCATTAGTGGCGTTTCCTTCACAAAACGCCGCAAAAGAACCTGGTGGCTTTTATTTACAAACGCCTCTATATTTAACTGATTTCGCATATATCATTTTCTACTTTGTAATACGCAAATTTAATATTCTCTACCATTATCTAATAACAATAAACTTAAAATTTAATTATGACATTATGTAAAAAAAATCAAAATTTATAAAATTAAATTAAAATGTAACATAGTTCAACATTGTTCACTAGAATTTAGTCTAGGTTCTTTCTCTTTCAATTAAAAAACACATTGTTCACTAGAATAAAAAACAATCTTCTAGTAGCAATTTGTATTGATCTCCAACTTCAGTTGATTCTTTTAATGAGGAATGTACCTTCAATTCAAACAACAATGAAAACAAAGCATTCAGAGACAATATATTACAAGAGGATAAAATAAAAGAAAAAGCAAAATAAGATATTTACTCGTACCCACTAGGAAGCAATTCTCAGACGAGTTACAACAGAAAAAACTAAACAAAATACTTTCATAGAATATACTATATCAAAATGTCCACCAATCCCAATACGAGGGACATTTCCCCAAGCCAGTGTGTCAATGGTCCCCTGAAAATCATCCAAAACTTCAGCCTTAGCAGCTTTGACAAAGCAAGCACTAGTATTCTGCCACAAATTGTATAAAGTTAAGTTGACTATAAAAATGTCTTACTTAAGCATCAAAGTAGAAAAAAATGACAGAATTAACCAAAAAGCATCAACGGAAAAAAGAAGATGAATATCACCAACTTGTGTGTCAGTACTGGACATGTCCAGCAGATTCCTGGAATGAAGCACATACAAATCGCTAAAAACCAAATTAATCTCCTTCCTCAAGATAATTGCTGATAATATATTCTGCAAGCACATTTGCAGTTAAATCCTTCAATTATAGATGAAGAAGGAATATGAATTGCCCATGGCTTTTTCAAAATTTGCCACAAACTGATCTTCACAAACTTCTGTTGTCAAAATAACACATTTTCCTGTCATTTATTTCGAAATAAGTTTTCAACTTTCAGGAGACCATATATTAACTAACTGAATAATGAAAGGGAAAGGCTTACCTTCACTCTTAACGTAATATTCAAATTCAGTATCTCCTTCAAGTTCACCATCATCTAAATATTGAAATTCAAGTTTCCGAACAGAAGTAGAGCATCACACTATCAGAGACCAAATTCACTGTTGGTGGATGACATATAATGTTTGAAATTATTAATAATACTACCACTAACAAAATCAGAGACGTACAGAAATTTAAGCAGAAGCACAGCTGAACAGAAGTAGAGCATCACACTATCAGAGACCAAATTCACTGTTGGTGGATGACATATAATGTTTGAAATTATTAATAATACTACCACTAACAAAATCAGAGACGTACAGAAATTTAAGCAGAAGCACAGCTTTTCTTTTGTGTGACCAAGTTAGCATCTTCATATGTTTTCTGTGACATAACTGAATATTCATGATATATAATGAGGCAAATAATAAGAAAAGACACAACAGAAAGTCACAAGTACAACTAAGAATATGCCGCACAAATCACCTCCAGAGAACTGTTTCAAAGTGGAACACCCTTGCTAACTGGAACTAGAAAAAAGGGCCAACAAGTAAAATGGTGTCATGCCCGATATGGAAGTGCATAAAGTTTTAAATTCATTACCACTTTCTATTCTTCTACCGTTACACAGTTAGCACCCTTACTGCAAACTTCTAAAACATGCTTAAAGCACACAGACAGTCCACCATGTTTATTATTATAAAGCATTTTAGCTTGCAGGAAAAGCAATATCTTGAGAAATTAAATATTCCGAAATTAACAATAGACCAAATCTATCTTAACAAGTAAAACTGTAAAAACAACCCTTCTAAAATCAATAAGCAACATGCAATCACATATAATTGATTGGTCTCTCTTTATAAATAAAGATAGTAGGAAACAATCCTTCAAAAAAAAACCTAAAAGGAAAATGTATAAGAATACAAAATTAAATATGGTTTCACATTTTATTTATTTATTTATTTTTACCAAAGTTTTGCCTTTTATTGTTGCTGTACATTATATCAAATATATAGAAGAATAAACTATTTAGCACCAGCACATCATGTTAGAATAGAATGTTTCAATCATGTTAGAAGTGTAGTTACTAGTTACCGCCTTTGATGAATTGAGATAATAATCACAATGTAAAAGCAAAAACTTTCAATGCAAAAGTAAAACCCTAATTCTGTTAAATTCTTTGATATTCCTCACTAAGAATGAATTCCTAGGAGAAATAATAAGTGCCAAAATCTACAGAAAACAATAGAATTTCTCCACAGGGTCATCTATTTATCAACCAAGTATATAATGGTAAGCAATAAAATGAAGGGAATGGAAGCCATAAGTTGTACTATGCCTGCAGGGAAATAAACGAGGCCAAACTGAATTCCCAATTAGGATGGCTTGGCCAGTTATTATCATAGAAATTTAGGACAGAATATTGATTTTAATAATGCATGAATCTTAAAACATGTAGCTCTCACAAACAAGTTTCTTCCACGTAAACAATTAAACTTCACCAGTTAAATCATTGATCTTACATACAGCACCGATGGCCATTTATATTAAATCATAATTCTAAAGCTTTTCCAGAAGAGTCGGCAGTTAAGAATTTGATGGTCAAAAAAATATAAATTCCATTCGAGTAAATGAAAGCTTGTAAAACTAATTAATTCAGCTTTACACAAACCTAAAGATGTTCTTATATATAGAAACTTGATTTCTAATCAGACACAATCAAAGGGGGAATAGGTAAAGCTGATCAAATTATAAATATTAAAAAAGCAAAGAAATCAACCAAGATTTAAAACCCTAGGATAAAACATTAAAAATTGTAAAGCACGACCAGAAGATTTAAAAAATGCAAGCATCTTCCAAAAGTAAATACAATTGAAATTGAAAAAAAAAATCAGATTGAATGAACGATAAATATCTAGAGTAAAGATGGGAAGGGAAATCGGAATCAAGCATACCTTGATCCGAGACCGTGGATTTGAATGTTTTGAAGACGAAGCGGGGGGAGAGAGTTTTGGGAGAGGGGCGATCAAAAAATGGGGGATAAAGGGAGTAAGGAAGGAAGAGGAAGTTTGTTGAAGGAGTGAGAGAGATAGCGCTAGCGTAGGAAAGCCCATGTCTCCTTTTCCCTGCTGCTTCAGTTGCTTCTAGCGTTGTAAAAACAAGGATTTTAGATTTACCCTTCTTTTCTTTTCTTATTTAGTGGTTTTTTTAAACTTGCCTAATTAAAGATTCTTTTATTATTATTTTACGATTTTTTTACTAAACTTAAAAAAAACATTGCATTAAATACTATTTTTTTATATTAAACGCATATTTTTAATTACCTTAATGCATTTTTAATCCTTAAAAATATTGAAATTTTTACTACTATATTGCGGCGTTTGTTGAAAAAACGCCACTATAGATGAACTCTTTTACGACATTTGTGTAAAAACGCCTCTAAGGTACAACTATGTTGCGACGTTTGTAGAAAAAAAACACCACTATAGATTATAACTATTGCAGCGCTTGAGTAGAAACGCCGCTAAAGTACTACTCTATTGCGGCGTTTGTTGAAAAAATGCCACTATAGATTAACCCTATTACGGTGTTTATATAAAAATACCGCTAAAGTATTACTTTTTTGTGGCTTTTGTTGAATAAAACTCCACTATAGATGACCACTATTGCGGCATTTGTATAAAAACGCCGCTAAAGTACTACTCTTTTGCGGCGTTTGTGTATAAACGTCGCTAATTGTACCATTTTGTGGCGTTTGGAATGAAAATGTTGCTATACGTTTAAAGTTAGTGGCGTTTACTCTAAAAACGCCGTTGTAGAGCAGTTTTGATGTAGTTACAAATTGAAGATGATGGCCTTTATATAGGCTTACAAGGCATGTGAATGGTTACTATGAAATAAAAATAAAAACTAAATACATGGATGAATATTAAAGCTATAATAATTAGGATAGCATTAAGATACATTTAGGGTGGCTGACCAAATATGTTCAAAGATGAATGGTTCTTTGAATTTTCTTGGTCAATGAATGTATATGATTATCATCCAATGCACTTGGTGGATGGATGAATATCCTGAATGCTCTCTTGATTTTTTTTTCCTTTTTCGATTTAATGCATTCAATTTTCGTCCAAGCATGTATGAAATAGGAAGACTTGTAATGTGAACACAAGCAAGCATGTCACATTTCATGTAATAGTCGTTTAGATTGCATTTTTAGTGTGAACATAAGCATGCATTCACAAGAAAGAATGTCAATTCACATCTCTATTGCTTTTTTAGTACAAGCATATGCAAACACGGAAGCTTGTGGTCGTGGGATTGAGTCTCACGGTGGGCAATTCATAATTCTGACTGCTGGAGGTCTTTTACGGAAGCTGCTCTCAACCTGGCGTTGGAGGCAGCCTACTATCCTACCTCCCCCTCACCCCATTACATATGAGAATAGGGTCAGCTAATTTTTTATAAGCAAGCACGTCACATGCAAGCACCTCAAGCAATGACCTTTTCAAAGCTAAGTAAGCACCTCGAGGTTGCAATGTAGCAAGTCATTGTAGTAACATATTAAAATGTAATAATGTGTATTAAACTAACTAATTGGACCTCCAAACACGTAATCACATCAAGTATGATGGTGGAAGTTGTTTTGCATTGAAATAGGCTTTTATGAATTGACACTGCTTTGAACAACTCGGACTAAGTTCGGATGATCTTCTTGAAGCTTTTCGAATGTAAATAGCTTGACTCCATCAAACATTCTTGAAAAGTGTGCCAAAAATGATGTAAGGCGTGTGTTGTGTGCACACATCACTATTGGTGATGGAGTCCTCTTTGGGTGAAGAGGATTTGTGCTAGATTGAAAAGGTCTCCAGATGATCAGCGCTTCAGAAGATAGAGGATAGACTGTGAATTTTGATGATCTTTAGTGGTTCTTCAGGCTCTATTCTAGTCTTCTCTATGGTTTTCTTGCCAAATATGATTATCGTTTTCTTTCTATCTTGGTGTAAGTAACTAGCGCCATGTTTTGTTTTATAATTTCTTTTTACTTTTCAATTTTTGATGCTTTCTCTTCCCTTCATGTTTTATTTCATACACTTCAATTGTTTAAGCCTTGGACATTTGAACAGTTGTTAGGAGTGGTGCCTAGTTGGGCGCTTTTTATATTCCTTTATTAATAATAACGGTTGTTTCAAGTTTAAAAAAATATAAATATTTGAATTTTCATGTTTTTTTTCTGATTTTATGATATTTTTACACTTTCTAAGGATTTTTTTCGTTTTCTTTTTCTAATTTCTTATATTTTTTATTTTTTGACACGTGATAATATTTCATTGGACATGTCATTTTTAACAGTTAACAGATAAAGACGAAATTGAAGGAAAGAATAAAAATTGGGGACCAAAATGATAAAAAAAAATAATAGGATTAAAGTGAGAGACATAGGACTCAAGTATTAGAAGGTTAGGGTGAAATAATTTAAGAAATTTGGAGTTTAGAATGTTAGGATAAAATAATTTGAGAATTGGAAATGAAAAATTTAATATAAAATAAAAAAATAATATAGGGAACAGGTACCCTCCGACCCAACTAGCTAGAAATTCAACCCATGACCTGACTCATGACCTATGAAAAATAGCTTTTTTAGATACCCGACCCTGGAATGTGAATATTTTAAAAGAAAATATTCGATTATTTTCATCTTAGCTGATGGATTAATGGATCGAGTATGTCAAGTCGTATAATTTTGAACAACGCTAATTAAAAAGTTTCATCTTTTATGAATCCCAATAAATAATTGAAACAAAGCATCATTTTTGGAGTTTAAGAACTCAACACATTGTTCATGATGAGGGAAAGAAAATGGTTGAAAGTTGAAACTTCGTAAAGTTACCACCTTGAAAGCAAGTTTCAAGATTGAAAAACAATAGAGAAAAGAGGGAAAGTCTAGAAAATACAGACTAATTTAAAGTTAGAAAACTGTAAAAATAGATACGGTTGGAAACGTGAGAAAATATATAATAATTTAGGTCAAGTGCGATCGAAAATGTGACCTTATTTCTCAATTTTGTGTTACAATCATTAATAAGTAAAAAAAATAGTAGAATCGAGAAACTGATAAAACTGGTAAGTATCAATACTTATATAAATATTGGT